CATTCCTCCGATCTTTAGTATTTCTAAGGTCTGACTTTATTTTTAAGGTATGTTTTTATCCTAGTCAGAGATTTCTTCAAGAAAATACAAAAAGCATGCAAGCAAAACATATCTAAACATCTTAGAACTTTGTAAGATGTTTGTTATTTTGTATAAATTTACAGTGAATATGTATTAATATTCTTTTCAGGTTTAGAGGTGGGTTAATCCATCATCTGTAATGTCTGAATCGTATTTAATGACCACTGAATTCAAAACTTTGAGCAAAGATATCTCAACAATCAAATTTGGTAAGAATTTTTTTATTTAAATAGTACAAATCTTCAAAATTTAAATAAATTTCTATTTTTACTAAGAACTGCATGTGATATAAGTGACAAACTAAAAAGTTGATTGGTATATGTCATGTGAATATACAATGAAAAAATAGAATTAAGTTTGGTTTCTTTCTATTAATTAAGGTATTGTTAGTTTTATTAAATTATCATTTAGCTTTTTATATGATGAAAATTTTTTTACTTGAGTATGATTATATCAAATTAAAATAATTCGAAGCAAAGAGACTCAGTATTCTTGAGAATGTGTACTTCTGAATAACTTCAAACTTGAGGCAGATTTGTTTAATTCCCACATAAGGTCAATGGATCATATCTTTGTGAAATATTTTGAGAAAATGGTATCAAACTCAATTTATATCAAATCAATATAATTTGAAGCAAAAAGACTCAGTATCCTTGAGAATACGCACTTCTGAATAACTTCAAACTTGAGACAGATTTGTTTAATTCTCATATAAGGTCAATGAACATGTCTTTGTGAATTATTTTGATTTGAGAAGTATTTTGATTTGAAAACTCTGAATAAATTTTATCAATTTAAAGAAAAACTATATTAACATATTTATTTATTTATTTTTTATTCTTTTGATTAGATCCATAATTTCGGTTTCTAGAAGATTTGAAAGGGGATGAAAATGTTTTTATACTCAAATTTAAATGATTATTAGAAGTCATTATATTATTGTTTAAAGAATAAGATATATAAGATAAATATACTCTAATTTTCTATAATACTAAAAAAAAATCATAAAAAGTGCTACAAAAATATTTAAAAAATGGAATTCGAGTATGTCCTAATAATATTTTCCTATATGCTAGCGAAATTTTTTTATCTATAAGATAAAAAAAAATTTCATCTTGAAAGAAATGAACTAAAATAATTGGTACATCCTCTGTATTTAATAATCTACTAATACGATCAATTGAATCTTTACCTAATTTACCTAATTTTATTTTATCTTCATCTATGTGGGGTTCCGAATCCTTATAAAATAGCCCATATGATACTTCTACAAAAAAAATTTCATACAAAATTTTATCACTACCAGTAAAGTATCCAATCACATCACCAAATTTTCGAACTCCACGATCTTTGGCTGAAAGACTTTGAGCTTGATCTCAGCATTTAAAAATATTTGGAGAAATAAAATTAATAATAGAAAACAGAATATCATAAGTAAAAGTTGATTCATTTATTAGGCTCGATCTTTCTTGATAATAATGATTCATCTATATTCTCTTAATATCATGAACTAATTGTTTGCCATCTCTTATTTCTTCATTTTCGCTTTCATCTAACCAATGTTTAATCTCTTTTTGACTAAATGTTATTTCTTTAACTGGTAAATTTATTGTCTTTATTTGTTTCTACTCTTCAAGATCTTCGAGATTTTTTAACAAACTGGGTTTTAGACTTATAATATTTTTAGGTTCTATTATACCTGAATATAATGAATCATCAACAGATAACTCATTCTTCGGTGCAGTAGTTATATAATTTCTAATGGTCAATAACAATTTATTTTTATTTGTAAACCACTGATGAAATTTATTATTTTAAGTAAATTCATTGTGCTAAAAATAAATAAATAAAAAGATATAATATACATTTTTAATATTCTGAATTGCTGAAATCTTTTTAGCATCTTCTGAGGGATCAAATTCTATCCAACCAAAATTTCTAATAACTTCAATTAACAATAAAGTTAGTGTGTAACTTTTTGTATAATTTCTGCGAATTTCTTTCAGTAAATCATAATAAACTTTCATCCTATGAAAAAAAAGCTAATAACTATACAGTACAATTTTATTTCTTCAAAAATAATCTACTTTTGTTAACTTTGACTTAATATTGCTCCCTGAATATTTTTGTTTAAATTTATTATAAGCAACTATGAAATTATTTTTATCAGTATTTGTATAATTATGAGTAAAATTTCTATGATATAAATGATAAACTACATATTCATGATATGAATATTTCTCATCATTTTTATTGTTACTATTTTTATTATTTTTGAATAAAAAGTAATTTTCAAAAGAGTTGGTTTTTAATTTCGACATATCGATATTAATGAAACAAGGTAATTTGTTATTAAGAATTATCACATCAATATAAAAATCTAAATGGTAAAAGAACATGCGCTCAAATACTCTAGTTAATTTTAAAATGAATAGAGTCTATATTGAGTCTTGTGACTATAGATGCTGATGAAATTAATTTCACCAATTTCACCAATTCAACATTAAATTCACCATTAATGGTAAAATTATTTCTTATTTTCTTTGTACTATAATTGGAAATACGTTTTTCAAAAACTTGTATTTTTTCAAAGTACGCTATCATATAACTGTTTGTAATCATTCTACATATAGTTGATTCATATGACCTTATCTCGGCCTTAACGTAGGCAGAGATAAGGTCACGTGTTAATTGATGCCGGCCCAACAATCTTCGATAATATGTTTCTACATCATGGCACACTTTATTCATGATTCTTAATTGTAATTATTTTGTTGCTGCCACATTACACGTGACAATAGTTAAGAATCAAAATGATTATTAACTTTAAAACCAAAATTAAATGTGATTTTGCGGATCCGTAGGATATACTTGTTGCCCAAATACCAAATTACTATGGTTTGAATTTGTCCGTGCCCAAATCCCAAATTTATTCCAAATTAATATCCCAAAAGCTTTATTAATAATCTTTGTTCAAACAAATAGTATATATTCTTATAGTTATAAATAATATATTTGCAAATATCAAAATTTCATCGATCATCATCACAAAAATCATGGGGTCACACCTTTTTGCAAAACATATCTCAATTACAATTTAATTCTGATTTCGATTCAAATTAAATTAATTTGGGCCGAAAACAACTGACAATCACCCATCTATTATTGTGTCAGCTAATTTCAATTTTTGAATTAATGATTCAAATAAAATTAAATGACATAAGACAAAAAAAGTAAACAAATAGAGTGTATGCTCTATAATATCGCAAGATCCTAATTTTGCCAAATGATAAATATGATTTTCAACTCTGAATAAGGCTGTAAATACAGAAATATAAAAATAATTAATGCTATATTTGAACCAAAAAATTGTGAGAAATAGATTATATATATCAAATAAGCAAAGCTATCCAATTAAATCCAAATCAGAAAACCAAGCGAATATAATGTAGTTCAAAAAAGTACAAATAATGATAAAAAAAAGTGTATAATTATAATAATGGAGGATATTAAATTCAATTCCAAATAGGGCTGCATAATGAAAAAATAATTAACAATTAATATATTAAGTTACGATGAGAAATGTATGAGAAATGCATTATATATAGCTAATACACAAAACTATTCAGAATAATAATTCAAACTGAATCTAATATAATTCAAACAAACTGAATTGCAATTTGCTATTAGATGTCTTGGTGGCGATAATGATGCTTATTATTAACCAAAGAAGACTTAAAAACGGTGATAAGTAAGTCTAATCAATTAAACTAATGCAATAAATTAAAATAACAATAAATGTAATATAATATTATATTTTAAAGTGCCTATAATCAAAGACTTACTATTAGTACGTTAGTTAAGTAAAAACTTGCTTGAATTCCAGAAGTAGTTGAAATGCAAAAAATGCAAAAATTTATGTAAACCCTGGTCAAATGTCGAACAAGTTTGTTAGATTCATTTATATTCGAGGATTCATCTATTTTTACGAGTTAAAAAGTTAAATTTTGGAAATAAAATGGCAAGGCTGACAAGTTATATATTTATATAATATTAATATATACCAGTAAGAATCTTATATATTATTATTAAACTTGTAACTTTTTTTTATATATGGTGCTTTTTTACATGAGAATCATTCTGAATATATTAATTTTTCAGTTATAAATGAGTAAAAAAATCTAATAACTTGGCATTACATGAATTCTTTAAGTCAAAGTAAGACTGTATATTAATAGTATATATTATTTACTATCGTATATTATACAGCATATTTGCAGACAAAACAATATATTTATTTAGTCCACCAATGATAAGATAAACCGGTTCTAATACTTTAAAATTATTTATATATGTATTTATATGTATTATAATAAATTCTAATACTAATACACATATCGATATAGTGTAATACTGCATATCAATACTGTATTATCACAAGAATTTATCGACTGAACTGATATAAAAAATCGGTTGCACAGAGCACATACCTAATGACTCACTCATACTTTTTCTTTCACTTATCTGCAAGAAAACTCTTTTCTGAATATCTTGTTATTAATTTTTCAGGAAAAAACATGTATATTATAGATTTTAAAAATGCTATTCAGTACCAATTTTTCAATTAAAATAGCATTGGCATTATCAAAATACAAACTTATAACATTTGTAATCTTTGAATCTTTAAAGTGAGTGGCAGAAATAAGGTTAACAATGTTCAACAAGAAAGCTAGTTAAGACAAAAAAATTAGATGAACGATCCAAAACAATTTATAAGTAGCCCAAAGCTAGAAATAAAAATCAGGATAATGAAGAGAGCAATCTGATTTTTTAGGTCATGGCATACATTTCCCTTTGTTTGTTCTTCCTTTAATAATTTTAAAATTAAATATCAATACATGTTCTAAGGCAAACTTAAAACTTAAAAATACTTACTTTTTAAAGAATTCCAGTTCTGTATTCAAATTATCACAAGTTTTTTTCAGTTGATCCAATTCAAGTTGAAGTTTTTTCGATACTTTTTTTCTTTGTACTATGTATGAAGCAGCTATAAGAAGGATTATTTAGCTTAGTAGATCTGTTATTGCATATTTACAATATTAAAAAGTGATTCACCTTTTTTCAATAATTTTGCATAATCTATTTTAGAGTAAGTGGCCAGAAGTTGTTTTTTAAGCATAACAAAACCTTGAGTAATTGTTTCACATCTTTTTTTCTCTTCTCCTACTTTAATACTTCTATATTCTTCCAGATCAATATTTTTAGTCCTTCTCTTTTTTTTAATGTTTTCTCTACATACGTGGTGTGATCATGTGCAATTGTCTGCTTCTTAACACCGCAACTATCGGTGAACCCTTCGATGCAGATCATATATTCTCCTGTGTATTCGAATGAGAATTTGCTATCAACATGCTCGTACTTCACCCATAGGTAAAAATTAGGTGCCAGATTAAAATACCACATGCACAATCTTGCCAACTCCTTTATCCTGATCGTGTTGTAGATATTTACTAACCCATTCTTGCTCACTATATTCAGCATGATCTCATCAAGAAGATGCAAAAGGTACGTTGCCCTTCTTGAAACAGCAAGGACATACGTGAATGAAGAACAGATCTCGCATCTCCATCTCTTGAAATGTTTCCTAGAGATGCTGTGAGATCGCCTCACTAAGCATATCTTGCTGCTACTCTCTTGTGTTCTTTGTGCAATTAACAAATTTTATCAAAAATATGGTTATGTACTTCTTGTAATTCTCAATTAGGAAGAGTGTGTAAAAGATTCAAAGCGATACTTGGATCAATTTTGTATCAAACTTTTCTCTGATCAGAGAGGTGTATTCCCTCTTCACTAAAATAACCTGATTCAGGTTTCTTTGAACTAATTTCTGGTTTAAAATAACCGAATCAAGGTCTTTTTTAACCAACTTC